TGTAGTCCTAGCCCCGGGTGTCAGATCCTAATTTTTCAAAAGAAGCCAAAATCTTGGTGCTTTTTCTTTTTTTATTAATTGGAGAAAAAGATACAGATTTATTTATCGTGTATACACAAGAGCCTTCAGAATGAAAATTCAACTCTGCATTGGGGTTTAGAGGCTTATATGCCTTTCTGGTAAAATGGGTTACTGGGGAGTGGGGAAGATGAATTCTGTTGAGTGGCAATAAAAGATTACTAGGGAGGATGAATGGGTGGAGAACGAAGAGTAACTAGTTCTCAGTGGGATTTGAATTAATTAGAGAGGCAGGAGATTATCTTCTTAAAGAATCTGTTCAGGCGTGGTCACATTCCTGGTCCTACAGGGAGGGGAAGAAAAGAGCAGTTGTCATACTAGGTGGGTCTGGAGCTTTAAGCAGATAAAGAAGTTTTAATTTTTTAAAAAAATAATTTTAAATCTTTTTTTCTTCTTTTATTTTTGGCCCTCATGGTTCACAAGAAACTTTAACTTTTGGGGAGAGTGTGTGTTGGGTGGAGAGGGAGAGGGCAGAGACCTTGAGCCTTCTTCAGTCAGTGCAGCATGTCAAAATGCTGTATATTGGGATAAAATATTTCTAATTTTCTTCAGTCTCCACTTTGAAACTAAAACGTTTCACGTATTAAAAGCCAAGCTGATAACTTTGGAGAAATTTGAGTTAGAGATTGTTAGATAGAGATATACAAAGGAGCGTGGGGGGGAAATGGGGTAGGCCAGGCGTGGTGTCTCACGCCTGTAACCTTAACACTCTGGGAGGTTGAGGTGGGAGGATTGCTCAAGGTCAGGAGTTCAAAACCAGCCTGAGCAAGAGTGAGACCCTGTCTCTACTAAAAATAGAAACAAATTAATTGGCCAACTAAAAATATATAGAAAAAATTAGCCAGGCATGGTGGTGCATGCCTGTATTCCTAGCTACTTGGGAGGCTGAGGCAGAAGGATTGCTTGAGCCTAGGAGTTTGAGGTTGCTGTGAGCTAGACTAACACCATGGCACTCTAGCCGGGGCAAGGGAGTGAGACTCTGTCTCAAAAAAATAAAAATAAACATAGTGTTCCCTATCTTCTTTAGTCAGTCTTTTAGTTCTGTGAATAGATCAGTTCAGTTAAACAGCTTTGTGCCATTCTAGAAGCTTGCATTGCAGATAAGCTTGCACACAGAAGAAAAACAAAGGTTAATATTTGTAACCATTCCATAGAGTCTGGAGGGCATCCAGCTGAGGTGTCTAGATGTTAAACTAAAAACATCTTCAGTTATAGTGGAAGTAGACAATGACTTTCTTGCCCAGAGTTTGTTTGTTACAAAGTATACCTGCAGGACCTCAGGAAAAAGGTAGGGGCAATTTCACTGAGTCCCTGTCATAAAAATGGAAGAAAAATTTGAAAACATTATTTGAGACTTGTGGCCAGGTAAGAATTCAGGATTCAAGCTAGAATCTAATAATGAGTTTACTATAATTACTTTTTTGTTTATTTGTTTCTGAGACAGAGTCTCACTCTGTTGCCCTGGTTAGAGTGCCATGGTGTCAGCCTAGCTCACAACAGCTTCAAACTCCTGGGCTCAAGCAATTCTCCTGCCTTAGCTTCCCAAGTAGCTGGGACTATAGGCATGCACCAACATGCCCGGCTAATTTTTCTATATATTTTTAGTTGGCCAATTAATTTCTTTCTATTTTTGGTAGAGACGGGGTCTCGATCTTGCTCCAGGCTGGTCTTAAGCTCCTGACCTTGAGTGATCCTCAGCCTCCAGAGTGCTAGGATTATAGGCATGAGCCACTGGGCCCGGCGTATAATTTCTTTTGAAATGTAATTTTCTCTCTACAGTTTCCCATTTCTACTTAAGACAAATCATTGTAGGACCAATTTATTTGTGAAATAAATTTTAGTCTCATTATACTTGGCCTGATTATTTGCATAAACTGCAGCAAGAATAGTTATTGGCGATATAGGCTTTCCCTTTTTCTTTTTTTCAATTGGCTTTGCTGGAATTTTTTTGTGAGGAATCTCAGACTTTAAAGCCTATTGAGCCAAGGCAAGGATTTAACTGCGTCTGTATATATCTGTAGGAACTGGGTAACTTCCTCTTTTCTTGCGATCCGAGAATAACCTGGGGTTCTTGCACCTATCAGTGACATTCTTTGCTTACCAACAGATCTGGGAATGTCATGGATGAGGTACCAGCTGGGTGCTTTTTTTTTTTTTATTTTTTTATGAGTCTCTTCACTTTTCAAATTTGGCAAGTAAATTACTTTTTTAGAAAGACATTATATAGATGAAAAAGCATGGCCTGCACTGGAGGCTGCCTTTGGTAACCCCCACAGGGAAGATGTACTTAGGATCATTTTGGTTGTATGAGCCATGCAGAAATATGAGTGATAGGAAGGATATACTCATCATCATTTTGTTATAACTTCACAGACAGACCACACTTAAAAAAAAATTTAATCTGTTTTTTTCTACTGCCTGTGGGAGGTGTGTGTTTATGTTTATATATTAATAATTAATACCCTTGTTTAAAACAATCAAAACAACATGAAAAGGTTGATACCTTTTCAGGTGAAAAGCCCCCTCCCACCTGCCTCATTCCCACCCATGTATACCCTTTCAGGATCTCTTTAGGCAAAGCTCCTGCCCCCTTGTCATCAACAGGTAGAATCATTTCTGTCCTGCTCTGGACTTTGTTTTGTTCCCTTGACGGTGTAGCTTGGCAGCCTCTGCTCTTTCGTACCTCCAGCATTTCTCCATTCACAATAATTAATTCAGGTCCTGAACTTGTGTTCATTTACATGATGTTTTAGTCATTTCAAACATCTTCCTTATACCTAATAGTAGCTTTTAAATTGTGTTTTGGCAGGGGCTGTGTGAAAGGACATTTAAGCGTCTGTACCAGTACATGCTGAATGCCGGACTAGCCAAAGTGATTTCTCTTCCCTTACAAGAGATTCACCCTGAATGTGGACCTTGTAAGACAAAGAAAGGTAATGCCAGCTCTCAGCCTCTGTTCCCTGGTGGATGAATGGCTGTCACTTCTCTTTTTTAAGCTCCAGCCTCTCTTTCTGATCACATTCTGCCTTATAGCATGGATTCACATGTTTATTGAACTTCTAATGCCTCAGTGCCTGGCTCAGGACCTTCTATATCAAAAGTGCCCAGAAAATGTTTGCTGAGTGAAAGCAGATCTCATGTCCAGCAAACATCTCTGTGTGGTGTCCTCCAACATCTCAAATTTACAATGCCCATAAAGCAAGTGCATATTTTCCTTCTGACACAGAGCCACTCTTAAAGCCACTCTAAAGCCATTCTTTAGCCAGCTGTTATTATACTAAGTACCTACTCTGTGCTGCATGGTCTCATCGGCTAGCCCTATAAGGTTGGTGGTATTATCACCATTTTACATGTAAGAAAATTAAAGTTAAGAGATGCTAAGTAACTCACGGAAGGTTAAACAATCAGTATATGACAAATGTAGGTTTTGAGCCTTCTGAGAAAGTTAAACTAAGGACAATAGCCTATAAAACTTTAAAAACCTCCCTTAGTCCTTTATTTTTCTCTATTCTTCATTTTTGTCCCATGCTATTTAACCTCCTGACTAACCAAAATCATTTTAAAAGCTAAGGGTTAGAGCTTTCAGTGGAAGGTGATAATCAGAATATATGCGTTTATCCACTCTCTACCCAGACTCTACTGTAGTGGAGATAGGGATATAAAAGGAATGGAGCTCTCACGTGCAGAGAATAGGACAGGAAATGACAGCATAGAGAGCTGGCAACAACATTTTGGTGTTCAAAGGCAGATGGACAAATGGTGACTGACGCAACAGACTGGGAAAGCTAAGTGTGTGTGAAGTGCGATAGCCAGGAGTTGACACCTCCAAACTTGAAATAAACTAAGAAGTTGGAGATTCCAGGTACTTTTGAAATCACAAATGTGGGTGGGGCTAGAGATGAGAGAATTGGCTGATAGTCTGTATGAAAGTTGCACCCCCCCTAAGAAGCCCTTTCTCACAGAGACATAAGTCTGGAGTTGGCTCAAGAGAGCAGGTGCCAGAGGATTTCTAGACTCAGAGATATGAAGCCAAGCTGGGGACAGGGCATCGTGCCCAAAACGGATATATGACAATCTCCATAGGTGAAAATTCCCCCAGCTGCCATTCCCAACTTGGCTATCTCTTGGTTTATGCTGTCATTTTGTATATATCCTCCAGTAGCTTCCTAAAAGGGAACGTGGGTTCCTAGAACACTGACAGCCAGTCTTGCAGTCCCCGAGGCTGGAGGCTGGAGAGTTCTTTTCTGAAGACACTGGTGAGTCCAAGAGAAAAGTTCTCTAGGTACTGAAATGTGGGGATTTGCCACAAATAGCAGCCCCTGCTGACTCACCCTTCAGGAAGCCCACCTGATGGTAACCTCTCCCTTCCTCTTCTCCCCGCTTCAGAGGTGTGCTTCATGCTCAGAGAGTCTGAGTGTGGGTTAGTGATAGGTATATAGAAAACCAAACAAATGGAGATAAATGAGTTATTAACTCCTAGGAAAACCAAAAGGTATACAAGAAAAAATTGCATAGGACCTACTATGTGTGTGACTTTGTAGGCATAGCAGGTAACCTGTGGGGACTGGCTTCATCAGCACATCTCAGCAGAACGTGTGTGGAAGGAGGGCAGACTCACAGCATCCCCAGCACCTAGCTGGGTGCCCTGCAGGAGGCAGGCGGCCATATTTGTTGAGGGAATAGGAACTGCCAGTCCAAGGGGATTCTGTCTCTTATTTCTAGCTTAATTAATGGAATCACTGGCCACCCTGTCTGGCTTCTTTGTGTCTGAGAAAAGTCTTGTGGAAGGATGGTAACACACAGGCAATTACAATATTACAAGTGTATAAACAAAGAAGGAGCAGGTGGGAGGTAGGGAAGCCCTCCTGGAGTGAAACCTCATCTTTGAGTCCCTAGTTCTTTTTTTTTTTTTTTTTTCAAGCCTTTTAATTTTTATTCCTCAAAAAAGGTTCATTTTCTTATTTAGCTTTCTGGCTCTGTGCTTGTGCCTTCAACACTTTCACAACGATTTTCTGCTCCTCGATAAGGAAAGCACACTTGATCCTGTCACGAACACATTTAGCACACATGGAACCACCATAGGCCCTGCTGACATGTTTTTTTGTTTTAGACAACCTCATAAGAACTTTAGGTCTCACAGCATGAACCCCTCGAAGTCGACCTGGGTACACACCACATGCAGATTTTGGTGCTTTCCCAACCTTCTTGGTATAAAGGCAAACAATTCTATTACCAGGGGTTCAGGACAGCCTAGTTTTGTTAGAGGCTGTGTTGTAGGAAAGCCTACAGCGATATGTCAAACGTTGGACCATTTTGAGTGCCTGCAGACAGCGACCCCGGAAGAGGAAAAAGAAAACACTTGCGAGTAGAGTCCCTAGTTCTTAACACATTCTTCAGTGCCAGGTAAATGCGTGATTGATGGAATGACTGGAACTCCTCAAGGGAAAGAGTGGGTGGCATCAGTCTCTGAGTGGAGAGGAGATTAGAAAGGATTGCTGGGTCCTGTGACAAGGAAGAAAAGGTTCATGAACTAAGAGGTGTCCTGGGAAACTTAACTGTTAGGAGATTCTTTAGTATTTGACTTTGAGGTCTGATGTTCTAAATGCTGAAAATACTCATGGCCTGTGGCTCTATTAGTCACTTCTATTTTCTGAGCTGTTGGAAGAAAGGTGTTAGAAATAAACAAACTAGAGTAACTTTATATTTAAAATAAAGAGGCCAAGGGTGGTGGCTCACGCCTGTAATCCTAGCACTCTGGGAGGCCAAGGCAGGCGGATCACTCAAGGTCAGGATGTTCGAAATGAGCCTGAGCAAGATGGAGACCCTGTCTCTACTAAAAATAGAAACAAATTAATTGGACAACTAAAAATATATAGAAAAAAAATGAGCTGGGCATTGTGGTGCTTCCTTGTAGTCCCAGCTACTTGGGAGGCTGAGGCAGGAGGATTGCTTGAGCCCAGGAGTTTGAGGTTGCTGTGAGCTAGGCTGACACCGCAGCACTCTAGCCAAGGCAACAGAGTGAGACTCTATCATAAATAAATAAATAAATAAATAAATAAATAAATAAATAAATAAATAAATAAATAAAAAAAGAGGAACCTTAGTGCCTTAAAGAACCTTTTTTCCTGGTCAGGCAGCCGTGGAGAAAGGCTCCTCCCAAACTTGAGGTCCCTGGAAATTCAAGTTAACCACGTGAAACTAACAGACACCTGAACAGGCTTTGAAATACGACAGCCCTGGGTTAGAATTTTTGTTCCCTCACTTTCTGGTGGGGTAATTTTGAGCAAGGAATTTGACTTCTGTACACCTGTTTCCTCATCTGGATTTTCTGGGGGTGGTGACAGTACTCAGTTTCCAGGGTGTTATGGGGCTTATGTTTGACAGTGTCCACAGAGTAGGGGTCAAAAACTGGTGCCATGCAGGTCAAATCTAGCAATTTCTAGTATTTTGTTTGGCTCACAGTGTTTGTTTTTGTTGAATTTGTTACTGGCATTTAAAAATCCTAATTTTCACCTAAAGAGTTTAACTTTCAACTTCTCTGTAAAAATAAAATTAGGCAACATTTGACTGCATTTCTTTACTAGCAATTGGCTAGGCAGAGAGATGCTGCCCCATTTCGATGGGACCCACGTTTCTCATTCACCAAGAACACCCTGCTTGCTGCTGCGTAACCCACAGCCTGCTTCACTCTGGTGTGTCACGTGCTGGACCCTTGGAGGTGTTTCCGTCCATAGGACCTGTGCAGTGAGTGGTCCTGGTCATCTTGAGGCCTGGGACTGGGAGGGAAGGTTTCCCGAAAGAAGGGTCAGCAAGACTCAGCACCAATACTGGTGGCTTCAGTTCCTCATGTGAGATTAAGAGGGCAGACACCCAAGATGATGACAATCAGATTATTTAGATTGTGACAGGTACATACACTGAGCCATTCTGATTGCAGGCGACTCATCTCATTCCCATGGTGGTCCCTTTGCCCACATTGTTGCCTACCTCTCTCTGCTCGGGCTGGAAACCTAGGCTCATGGTCAGTCCTTCCCTCATGTCCGTGGCACTTCGTGGCTCAGTTATTTATTTGTGTGACTTTTCCAGCTAGGTTGTGAGCTTCTGGAGGTGGTGGCCACACCCCTTACATACTTTATATCCTTAATGCCTGTGCAGTGTCTGCTTGGAACAGAGTAGGGGCTAAGCATGTGCTTAGCACATTTAATTAAGTGCCACTTCAGTTACTTTCCCTGTGTAGGAGACAGGGATGAATGCACAGTTTTCAGGGGTTTTGTTTTTTGCCTTGAGCTTTGTCATTCTGCTTTGCAAAATTAACATAAAAATTTCCCTTTAAGGCATTATGAAGTAGAGAAGACTTAAATAATAAATGAAGATGATATATTACTTCATGTAAATTTACAGGTGTGCCTAAGATATAGTATACGAATTGTTTGTAACATTCCGTAAAGAGCTTGGATTTAGGCACATTTGAAATGCATATTTCATTGCACAGAATATTGCAGCGATCTGTTTTGCAAAAAGTTAAAAAACCTTCATAATGAAAACAATCACCCTGAACTGATCTGTTTTGCAAATTTGGATTATTTTCTTCGAGTATTTACCAGTCATCCTGTGTTTAAAATTGTGCTGAGGAAAGGAAGAGAAATAGAAGTTAACTTTGCAATCTCTCAGAAAATGATCACAGTTGGAAGCAATTGACAGAAGTCGTGCTCCCTGGGGCTGATGACTGAGATTGGCATTTGAGTGGGTTTTCTAGGTTTGGTGACAAGATGAGTCTGGTGTAGAAAGGGATGGCAGGGGAGCTGTTGCCTCTGTGAGTCTTAAAAAATAAACAAGTCCAGTAAGATTGCAGGACCCAAGATTGATGTACAAAAATCCATCACATTTCTATATACTCATCATGAACAATTTGAAAATGAAATTAAGAAAACAATTCTGTTCACAATAACTTAGGAATAAATTTAACAGAAGTATAAAATGTATGCTCTGAAAACTACAAAACACTGTTGAAAGAAATTCAAGATCTAAGTAAATGGGAAAACATCCCATGTTCCTGAATTGAAAGACTTAACATTATTAGTAAGGTGGTAATTACTCCCCAAACCATTCTACTGATTCCACGCAATCCAGATCAGAACCCCGGCTGACTTCTTTGTAGAAATTAACAGGCTGATTTTAAAATTCACAGGGAATTACAAAGGACCCAGACAGGTAAAACAATCCTGAAAAAGAATGAAGTAGAAGAACTCACACTTCCCACTTTCAAAACGTAACCCAAAGCAACAGTAGCAGCGTGGTACTGGCACAAGGACAGACATAAAGATGGGTGGAGTAGAATCGAGAGTCTAGAAATAAACCTTTATATCTGTAGTCAACTGATTTTGGGCAAGGGTGCCAAGACTGTTCAATGGGGAAAGAATGGCCAGTTGTGAAAGGCCGTTACTATTAATATATGATTCCATGTATAGGAAAATCCAGAATAGGGAAATCTAGAAGTAGATTAGTGAGGTTTAGGCTAGAGGTGAGTGGAGAGAGGAGTGATGGTAGTGGGTTTGAGGTGATTAGAATGTTCTAGAATGGACTGGTGATGGGGATGCACACCTGTGAATATGCTAAGCAGCCATTGATTTGTGTAGATTAAATGGGTGAACTGTGTGATAGGTGAGTTATATCCCAATAAAACTGTTAAAAATTCAAATAAAAACAAGAACTGAACCAAGAAACATAACAGGGTACAGTAAACTATGAACATTAACATGGCAAAAGACGCTTTTAAAAAGATAGTAGGGTTGATGTATACAAGCTAACAAAAAGAGAAATGAGCCTAGAAAGAATGATTAAAATGCAATAAAATATAAAGGTTTAAAAGAGCTTTGAAATCAAAACACTAGAGTTAAAAAGAATGAGGATCAGAAAAACAAAAAGGATGAAAGTGAGCATAAACATAAAAAGAATAGAAAAAGGTCAGAAATTTTAAAAGCCTAGGAAATTAATGGTGCTGGGGGAAAATGGTTAAAACAGTTAAAAATAAGCAGAATTTATGTTAAAAGTGACAAAAGTGATTAAAGAATACTAGCTAAAAAAAATTAAAAGTAATTACTGTCATTAATAAGAAAAGTAAAAGAAACAAACACATGTTAATACAGCAGAAGTTATTAAAAGTGAGAATTTAGAAGAGGGGTAAGATCCCCTGGGGTGTGAATTCCTGGGCTTGAGTAACTGCTACAGGAGCCTAGGCAGCTCTCTGGAGGGGGCTAAGTATTTAGGGAGTGCCCTTTGTCAGGAACAGCTCTCTTCCCTCTGCTGCCCTCCCAGGGAGGAAACATCCACTCAATCTTGCACATGGTGGGAGCAGTGGATGGCTGTTAGCAGGGAAACAAGCAGGTGGGAAGGGAGTGGGGGCTGGAAAGAATTCCAGAGAAGCAGCCTGGGGCAGACAAGGGCAGGCTTGGGGCTGATGCCTAGCCATGGGCTTCCTTCAGACCTTTCTAGGGTATAGCCTGCTGATTGATTTGGAGACTGCTCCCTGAGCTGGGAAGAGCAGAAGGCAAGTACAGGAACTTGTGAGCACATGCATGTCCATACAGGGTGACCAGCCTGGCATCAGAGGTGTGCCTGGGGCCAGTACAGTGACTGGGATGTGTGTTAGCAAGGTGATGTTATGATCTTAAACAGTGCCTGGCTCAGAGCCCTCAATAAAGGTTCCCTGTTGTCTCACTGTTGTCCTTGTTTATAGCACTGTAGTTTATGCCCAGCCCTTCCCATCCATTGGTCACACTTTAAGACTTTGGGGACCTAAAGAATTTAGTCACAAACTCAGACCAAGGATTTGGGGAGGTGATATTTGCACTGGGTATTTAATGATGACTTTGAAATTCTAGACCATGCATTTATACAATTTACTAAGCCGTTGTAAGCACCCATGTGTATTATCATCAATACTCTTGTTTCCTTGTGCAGTTAGTAAGAAAAGTCTTAGACTCTGTGGAGCTGCCTAAGGACATTAAAAAGAGGAAGGAACTGGGCAAGATACCATATTGTTATCCCATTTTGTCACCAGTCTTGGGGTAGGAGGTGAGGTGGGGAGGAAAAAAACATCAAGATAATATCCAGACAGTGTGCCAAGTATTATTTCTTTAATTTGAATCCTTCCAATCCCCCACCCCAATGTTGTCAGTACCATTCTTTTGGTTTATGTCACTGCTAAAAAAATGGAGGCATAAGTCACTTGGCTGATATAAAGTTTTTCGACGGTGAAAGAAACGGAGAGAGTAAAAGTGAGGCCAAACAACATGGCTTAACATTCCCAGGTGAGGTTCATGGGCCCCAAGAGAGGGGGGCCGGAGAAGTCACGTCCGTTTGAAGGGGGTGAGGCCTTTTATATCGTTTGGGCTGGGCTAGGGACTTTTGGCAGGAAGAGCTAGGGATTTTCCATTGTGACCTTGGGTGGTCATTGAGAAATAGGAGTGGCTAGCAGTATTTGTGGAACCCAGGAGCCTAAACGTTTTTATCCAGATGGACATCTGGGTGTGTTTCTTCTCAGCAGGGCCTGGTAGTTTGTCTTTGGCAGGTCTGGTCTCATGAGCCTTTTCTTTTTGATCTAGAGACGGCAGAGGGCCCACCACCAGCCTTACAGCTAAGAGCCAGCGAGTGCTGGTACAGGGATTTTATTTATTTATTTATTTATTTATTTATTTGTTTTGAGACAGAGTCTCACTTTGTTGCCCAGGCTAGAGTGAGTGCCGTGGTGTCAGCCTAG